TAGGAGTCACTTAAACACAAATAGCTCACTCTGTCCTGAGTAGCTTAAACTGTTGGCTATTATTCTAGCACTGCTGTTGTGTTTGTATACCGTGAATGAATAGCTAGGTATTGTCATGAATTGGTTCCTTGTCTCTCTGCAGTAACTTCTCATAAAACAAACTTTATTCTGTTACCTAGCTCTTCTTTGATTCTGAAAGTGACTCTGTAGTCATTGGCTTGGAAGACTGCCCTGTTATAAGTGGTGATGTGAAAGTCAGATTTGAATCAGATTCTGTAAGTATAACAGTGTGAAGACCTTCACTTGGGTTTGGGGAGAGGCTGCAGTGCACACTGCAGCTGGGTCCTGGCTGGTTGGGTGGTGTGGGGCAGAACCTGTTTTTCCCCAGTGACTCCTGCTGTGTAGGGTGGCCTCACTGTGCACTGAGGGATGCAGCAAGTGGTGCTACTTCAGCCTAGGCAAGCAGGGGAGCCATCTGGCTGTTCATACAGCAGTGTGATCAAGACGTCTTAGTTGAGTACCTGCTTCTAACATGAGGCTCTCACCTCATTGTATCGAGTGACCTAGTACTGAAATAATTGCAGTGAAAATAGTGATCTGTGTGTGATATTGGAATCTTCAAGTGTACTGATTCTGGCACTTAATCCTTAACAAGTCCTTAATCCTTTGCGTTTAGGATCTCCCAAAAGGCTATGATGACTGCCCATTCTTCTTCTGGTTCAACACTTCCTTTATTGAAAATAACAGGTAAATGATCATTGTAACTGTCTCCAGATCTTAACTTCTGGTTTCTGAACTGAGCTGAAAGTTCATAAACATAGTAAAGCTGAGATAGGCTTGATGAGCCAGCTGTCTTAACTTCCAAGTTGGTACTGGTCTTTGACCCTCAGCTGTAACTTATGAGCAGGCAGCTTCTTGCACTGTGCTAAGTATTTTAAACATATGTGAGGTTTTTATCTTAAGCCACTGGACTATTTCCTCAGTGCTCTAAGCATTGTTAATGAATTTTAAGTCAAAAATCTAATGGGAACTGTTCAAATCTGCCGTCCTCTATCGTACGGCTGCCTAAAAGACTGGAACTCAGTAGCTTAGCAGGCAAACATTAAGAACACACTTGGAAGTACTGATGCTTGGGATCCAAAGAAAGGCTCTCTTATGGCTTCTCATGTTTTTGATAAAGTTAGAAATTACTGTGGTTTTGCTTGCTGAGACTAGAACTCCTGGGAAAGCTCCAGCCAGTGAAAGTTGGACTTGTCTGTCTTGCTTGGGGAGTGATGTAGAAATGCGAGACAGGAGATCCTTATCTTCTGTCTAACCTGCTTTGACAGATTTAGGCAGAGGAACAGTGAACTTGACATAAGAAATAAAATTACTGTGTTCTCCATGACTGGAATAGAAAGGAAACAATTTTTACTGAATTGATCCTGTCAGAGTATGAGGAGAGGTAGCCTCTGGTCTGTTTGTAATTGTAAACTTAATATGCTGAACCAGCAATGCACCTTGCTATCTAGGTGCAGACCAAGCCAGTGCCAGGAGAAATGTATGCCTACTGTCTGACAGCCCTGAAACATTGCCATTTTGAGAGTTTTGCTGAAGTGCTTTGTTTACTCCAGAACTAGGGAGGATGCCCCACCAGGCCTTCATTTCTCCCTTCCTGCCCAGAGAATTCTGGTAGACCTGAAGTGAACTAGGTCTGATCAGAAGTGAAACAGCTCTTAAGGCAGTACTTCTATTTCTATATCTCTAATTCAGCTATAGCTGATGTGCAAGTGCTTTTAAAAGATAACTAGATGTGAATTTAGTAAACATTAAAATTGGAGAATGTACCCGATGAAGTTGAGCACTGAATTGAATCCTTAGCTTTAGGAAGATCAATTACTAAATTAGTGACACTCGCAACCTATCGGGAGACCTTGAACTGAATGCAACATTAATTTTACTCTAACAGTCTTGCATTGTGGGGCTCTGGGAGGGGTGGATGTAGAACCAACCCAAAAACCCATCAGGTTGACTTTGTTTCTCAGACTATTTCAGATGCAAATTGTTGTGCAGGCATGGCTGATGTGTGTTTCAATTCAAGATCTGGGGCTATATTTCATATTCCAGGGCTGAGCTTGAAACTTCTGTGGATGGCTGAATGGAAAAGCATGTCTTAGGTTGTTAAGATATACTACCGAATTTTGTCTTTCAGACTTTACCTTCCCAGGAATGAGCTGGATAACCCTCACAAGTCTAAAACTTGGAAAGTCTATAGCGAGACATTTGCTGTGGAGGTGAACTTTATTGATTTATAAGGGAAATCTGAAAGAAGGGAAACATGTAAAACTCCTGGAGAATGTCTTGCTGTTTCAGTATAAAGTGATGCAGTCTAATTTTCATGTACTTAATGTATATCTGTGTAGATACAACTTCTCAAATAAAGTTACATGAAGTTCTGTTGTGCAGGAAAATAATACTCTGAAGAGTTATTTAGTATCAGCTAACTGTCACATCATCCTTAGGAGTTTAGGTATCTCTGCATACAGGTAATTCCTGTTTTAGTAATCTAAGCTAATTGCTGGTCTTTAAGCAATATCATTAACCCAAGGGTGGGTGAAGACCAGCAATCTGCATGAGACTGAAAAAATCTGACACATCTCCCTCAGCACCAGGGTTTTCCACAGATCAGTAGAATATGGGAATTTTGAGGGAGAAATATTAGTCTTCCTATGTCAGATTACTGCTGCTTGAGTAGAAGCCTTGGTATTAAACTGCTCTTCATCAGGAGTCATTGGTGTAGGGGTTTGAGCAACGTGTGTCCTGGGAGCTGCCTGTGGGGGTTGGAGACTGCACAGCTGCTTTTCTACTGCTGTACCTCCCCACAAAGGGCTGCAATGGCCACATGCACTAAGACTTAAGTTTGTGTCTCATCAGCTCAGGAGCATGACAGCTGCCTGGGATCACTTAGTGAGGCTTGCCTTAATATCTGCATGTGGTGGGTTTGATCTATGCACCTGCCCATTTGAGCTAATAGTGCAAATGCTCACTGACCCCTCTTGAGCTGTACTAAGACCTGTAATTCACAACTTCCAGGAGACTTATTCTGCTTTCAAATGTTCTCAGCAGTGCAGCTTTTCTATGGAGACTATATCTTCCTCAACGTGAAATATGTTCAGGTGTTAGCTTCTTGATTCTGTTGCTTCCTTAGTCTTTAAATTGTTAGGAACCAAGAGTGGAAGGGAAGTGATGTAGCTTTACAGTTAATGGGGTAAGCAGAGGTCACATACCTTCCATGTGCTCACTTGGGGATAGTGGTATGAAGTACTCGTGTGGACTGAACTTTTCCTATTGTGTAATTATCTAGGACTTAGGAGCCGGGCTCTTGGAAGCTGCTTCTATCAGCACTGTACTTCAAGTGTGGAGGCTAAAGCCTGTTTTGAATGACCAACAGAGTCCCATCACTTGTTTGCAGGCCTAGGTGCAGGATAGAGTGAGCCTGGGTCACTTAAGTACATGTAGTCCAAGCTCCTGTGTAAAACAGGCCCAGATAGAGCTGGATCACCCAATCTAGTCTAGTTCTATGTATCTCCACAGATAGCATTTTTCACACAGTACTTAATCTTGTAAATACTGTTCGTTCCTGGTTGGAATTTCCCTGATTCTGAGTTGTACCTGTTGCATCTTGTCCTGCCCTGTAAGCCTCTGCAAAGAGCCTGGCTCTATCCCCTCCCATGAATGCGGTAACTGTAGACTCTTCAGCCTTTTATTATGGGTGAACAAACTGTTTTCTCCACCATCTGTTCTCACTGCCCTCTGCTTAACTTGCTGTAGTCTGTCACAGCCTTTCTTGTACTGGAGAACAAGAAATTGGATGTGGCATTGTGTCTGCTCTGACTGATGTGAGAGGTATGAGCAGATTGTCATAACTGCCTTACCTGCTGGCTCCAGAGCTAGCTCTAGCAGCCTAGTCTTTGCTGCAAGGGTGTGCTGGCTCATGTTCAACTTCTGCAATGCTGTTCCCCAATCTGTGGTGTTGCTCTGGAGTTAATTGCCCCTCAAGGTTAAGTGGTGCTGGCAAGGTTAATACAACTCCTGCATCTCTGGCTTGAGAAAAGGAAGAAATACCCAGTTACGCAGTTGTGAGATCCCAGCTGCAGCACTAGAGGGCAACAGGGCAAGCAGGCATGTAAGGTCTCAGTGTCCCTAGGAATGTGCTTGGAGCTGGAAGAGGACGCCCTTTTATTACAGCTAGAAGTGGCTGATGACCAAGTTCATTTTGGCTTAGCTCAGGCAATTGGATACTGCTGTCCTAGGATGCCCTTTCTACTAGCTGATGCCCTTTCTAGCAGTTGGCAGGGCAATTAAGGTGACGCCTCTTCCTGCTTATGGAGTAAGCCTGTTTTCTCAGGTAGCAGCAGCAAAGGCTGTAACAGTAAGTCAGATTTTTCTAGCTGAAGCACATGCAGTTAAGTAAAAACTATTGCGTAAGCAAGAATGAGAAACAAAATAGCTGTTTAAGGGATATACTACATTTCTCTTGGGCTATCCAAGCACCACTGCTCAGGAGATGGTAACAACAGGTCCTGCATTCCCTGTTGCACTGACCTTCACTGGGTTCAGGGTAGTGGATACTCATCCCTTACATATGTGAATTTGTGACTTATGCTGACTCCTGGTATTCTTCTGATGGAAACCTTATAGCCTATATCATGGTATGTAAAAACTTAGAAGTTGAGGTGAACCTTAATGCTAGAACTGTCTTTGGTACTAATGAAGCAACAGGCCAAGTGCTGAACCATGGGCTTCATTTTCCATAGTAGAAGATATAAAATTAGCAGTTGTTTCATAGCACCTTGCTCTAGCTGCCACTTTCCCTTTGGTTTTGAGGGCTTTATACATTCATTGGTTGTAAAAAGTCTTTTCCTTTAATTCTAGAGAGGTGGTGATGTTGACTCCAATCTCTGTTTCTCAGCTAGATAAGCTTGTTAAATGGTGTTGCATAAACAATCATCAGGTACTCAGTAAATCAAATGAAACTTTATTCCCATGAATTCCTATACCATTATGAAGTTCTTAGCTGAACAACTGATACACATGTACAGCTTAAGCAGCTGTGAATGGAAAAATTCCTGCTTACATCAACTTCAGAAGGTAAACTCTCAAAAATGTCACCAGCTTCTTGCTGTAGGTTCAGTTTTAAATATCCTGCTTCTCTTGAAGCTTCAACTGCTATATTAAAAACTGCAACCATGAGCTTTAAAAAATGAAAGCAAAGACAAATCTAAGAAATAGATTGAAGTATTCCACTGATGTGGAGTCAGTCCTCACCTTTTTGTAACTATTAGAACCATGTACAAATATACTATTTCTCTTAGCTAGACAACTTTGAAAAGGAGAAGTCTAACAACTCTTAAAGTCTCACCCTCCTACCTGAATTATTTAAACATTTGGTATAAATTCCCTTTAAAGTACTGGCACTCCAGAGTATTGCTGCTCCTAGTGTATTAGTCAATCAAGGTAAAGTGGTGCAATAGACACTGAAGATTCTTCAGCCATGCCCTGCTTTAACTGCCTTTTCTGATGGTATATGAAAGGGAGATGACTTGTTCCTTCTGCACTTGAAAGCTGGAGGAGCAAGAAGAGTTTGTGGAACTGCAGCAACCATTTTCCATCAGAGGCTGTGACAATGTAAGAAATTAGCCAGCTTAGGTGCACCCTGGCTCCACTGCAAGAGGCAGCAGGTATTGAGATGATTTCATCTATGCTTAAAGCTTCTTCCTGTTTCTGGGATCTGAAAGGGAAGCTGTAACACGCAAAATGAGGCTGTTCCAGCTCTAACAAAGGTGGTTGCTGTGAGAAGCTGCTACTCTCCGTGTAGCTGTGATGCTATCAGAGAGTCAAAGGGCTCTGTCTGTGCCCCCTCCCCCACCACTGCTGGGCTGCACTAACAGCACACAGCATCGCTGTACAACTCCAGGCCCAAGCTTGTGCTGACCTGAGACCTGCTTGGACTTATTCCAGGATAAGACAGTAGCTGCTTCTTACAAGGTAGAGCATGCTTGTACAAAGAATGGTCTACCTCAAGAACAAAAGCGGCATCTGGAAATAGGTGTCACTGCATTATTTTGGGTAACACTAAGTACACAGTTAATCAAGGAACATGACTAAGCAGGCATGCCCTCCAGGCCTGAAGGTGATACAAGCTATCCAGTCATATGAGCTTTTTCCACTCATATGTGCTGAAGAGGCACAGCAAGGGGCAGGACTCAGCCCAAGTAAGAGTGTGCTATACCAGAGACCATAGTGTCAGGTGTCTTTAAGAACAGTTCTAGCTCTCTGCTCCTCTTCAGCTTCCTGTCCTTCCAGCACATGGACTCGTTCATGACAAGGCGGCCCAAACAGGAGCCTGCACAAACTTACAATTCTGTGCTCAGAGCCAGCAGCTATTTCCAGCACTGTCCCTTATGTTAAGCAGTGCTTAGCATATTCTACCACTTCTTGAAAGGATTTAGAAAACAATAAAATGCTGCATAGATTCCTTATCATTGTTACTGGGTTTCTTTTACCAAAAATGCATGCATATCATTTGTACAAGGTAGTAGGGGGTGAACACTTCCTACTTTTATAAGCCCATTCAGTAGGACAGAGTATGTAAGTCAGACACCATCTGCCAAGACCTTGGCAAGTCACAGAGCAGCTGGGAGCTGGAGAAGGACAGTGGTCTAGTTGAGGTTTATGTCCAAGTCATCCATAATCAGCATGATTAGACAAGACTGATGTTATTTTTGAGTCACACACCAGCAACAACTGGTAAAGGTCACTGACAGCAGAGATGTAAAACCAGTGCTTTGCTGTAGGCAAATCATAGCCTACTGTCTCATGTTACATTAAACCCCACAGGTTAATAAGTCTTTTTAGCACCATTACAGGTCAGGAAATACATTTATGACATGCAATGTACCTAGTGCAGAATCTGCAAGATGGAGATAGTTCTGCTTGTGCAATTCAGGCAGTATGTACACAGCTCTATAAAATCACCTGATTTTGAAAGATTACAAATCCTAGACTGGAGTTGAGTTCCTAAAATTAGGTCACTGATTTGGCCCTCCTCAGACCATCATGTGATCTACATATTTTTGATCATTTATTTATAATAATTGTTTGTTCTTTATCTGCTGGAAGGTATCAATAAGAATCTATTTGTTTCATCATAAGTTTCCGGCTGTACTCATAGGCAAGGAACAGTGCCCCGTTGGCCACGAACGCACGGATCATAGTTGGTGTTAGTCCAGAATACAAGGCAAGTACACCTGGAAATGAAATCAGAGCCAGTTAGTCATTTAATACATTGGCTGTCTGCATCAACCACCTTTGAGGGATACTGAAGCAAGCTTCTGCTTAGAGGAGCATGAACACAGACCTGAACTCAGTGGTGTAGCTGCTAACACTGTTACTGGATATTGATATAGGAGTATCTAGCATTGTAACACGAGTTTAGCCATGTAAGTGCTTATGTTAGAAGCTTATTTCAGGTATGACAGGGTCTTGGTCACCTGAGATACACTTCACAGCAGATATACCACAGCTGGCAAGGAGACAGAAAAAACAGCAGGACTATGTTGGAGCTGTGCCCCAAGTAAAATTTAAGTTCTGAGGAGTATCTTCCCTAGCACTGGGGCCAGGATTCATATTTGCTGCCATGTACGTTCTTAGACCATCTTCCAAAATGCCTGACCCAGGCCTTTTCCACAGATGAGATGCTGAGGTAGATGTCTCCATGCCAGGCTGGACAGGGCTGTTTGATAAATCAATGATCAGCCATATATTAACTTCTAGAGGTGAAGAAAAATTCTGCATGGAACTTACCCAGTTCCTTCAATCTTCATGTAACCTAGGTTTGGTCATAGGTAATGGACCTCATTCCTTTATCTACTTTTAATACCTCCTGAGCTTTTGTTAGCTTTAAGTGAATAGTCTCCTAAACCAAGAAGCAGGGCAGATGCAGTAGGTCTCAATTCCTAGATTCCAAGCTTTCCAGACTAGATGAAGCATTAATATTTGTGTTTGCTAGAAAGAGTTATTGTCTATCTCTAACACATTGTCACTGGACTAGATTTCTTATGCAATTTCAAGTGTTAAAGAGATAGATTTCAGTCTGTAGCCCTATAAAATTCAGTGTTCTGCTTGCATACTTACCTTCAGTTCTCACAACAGTTACAAATGTTCCCATAAAGCCTGCCTGTTTTCCAGCCATTGAAAGAACCTGAATTCTGGATTTGACACAGTCCACAGGATACACAGAAATCCACAGACAGCTGCCTCCAAAACCTCCACTTAGTAGCAAAGGAACAGGACCTAAAATTAACAAATAACCTTTTATACACACCACAATATTCACCGGCACAAATACAACATTACTTCATCTACAAAAGTCAAAGAGAACAGAGCAACCTGCTTATGACAAAAGAGCAGTTTCTTCTCCCTCCCAAGCCTTTAAGTTAATTTTAAGTCACTGGTAAATTACAAGTTTAACTAGACACTCAAAGGTTATAAAGAGTGCCTCTTAGATTATTTGCCATGCTAAAAAACCATAACTCAGAATTCTGTCTTGTCTGTATTAACAAATTTACTGCTTTAACACTTGTAACCACTTTCCAAGGCTAATTGTGAAATGGTTTAGAGTTATGTCATATAGTGTTACTAATCACCTATACAGAGATTTCTTTGGTACAATAGAGTGAGTTATTTTGTGATCAGTCATTTTTTTATGATGCACCCTGATTTTGTATTTCAGATCAGATGTTTATAAACATTTTGTAACAAACCAGTCCAGAATGCATGCAGCTGAAATCCTGACTCCCAGCAAGACAAAGTATTACTGTTCAGTCTTTCAACAGGACAGAGGCAATCTTTATTCTGGCATTGCCACATTTTTTTCATGTCTAATTTTCAATCTCAGTGTTCTCTTACTATCATTATAATTACATCTAATGGTCAGCATACATTTCAGCATACACTTGAGCATGCTGTTCAAGAGAATACAGATGAATACTTCAAAATCACTCTAAATGGCTGCTGAAATGAAATAGTTCAGAGTTGTGTTACACTGTATGGTCAGATATTTCAGCAGTTTTGTACTGTTAGCTCACTGTTTTCATTTTCCATTTGTAATACATCCTGCTTCATTAGAAAGCAGTCACTTCAATAATTCATTACAATATATACACAAAATGCAGACCTCCATATTTACTATTCCCAGTTTCCTTCATTTTACATGTATTGTACAGCTGCTGTGCATCGTTAGTGTATCTTCATGGAAGATAAGCCCTCCCTTATGTCCCCCATAACAACATGCTAAAACGCACCTGGAAAAAGAGTCACCATACCTAAATCATCTTTTGATCTCCCAGAGGCAAAGAATGTCCGGCTCAGTTCATACCCTCCAAAGAAGAAGAAATAGCCTGGGACTTCCCGCAGCAAAGTGCTTGACAGGCCACGGTAAAATCCAAGGGGGCCATCCTTTTGAATAACACCCTTCACTACTGACCAAACTGTACTGATAGAGAGGTTGATCCAGTTAGTGATGCTTAATAGTCAGATAATGAGAGGTTACAGAACAAAGGCAACTGCAGTGACAATTAAGGGCTAGACCTATTGTGTAAACACCAGAATTAAAGTAAGACTTAGAACAAGATTCTGCTAGGAGCCCTTCACTGGCATCCAGCTTTACTAGTACCCAAAAGGCCTGCAGGCTGTGACCCTTCCAGCCACAACTCTGCTCTGATTAGCAAGGAACTACAAATGTGACACTGAGCCAATACAGAATTTGAAGTAATAATACACATAAAATGGTTTCAGAGATACTGGGCAGGGTGTATACTTACTTGTGTCCCTGGATTATCTTTCCTGACAACTGCATTTCATACATGGCCTGTAGCCGGCACTTCACCAGCTCTGTGGGGCAGAGGACAAGGGTGGCAAAGGCAGAGGCGAAGGAGCCTGCAGCAGCATTCTGCAGATCACTGCAAGAAAGAAACTGAAGAAGGTATTTGGGCAATGACCTTTAGTGCAGTGGAGCCACCACACCAGCAATCAGCTTCCTGAACCTCTACTCTAAATATCCTCAAGAAAAACTGGCAATCCTGGTAGAAAGAGTCTCAAGGGAAAAGGGCAGTTACTTGAACTAGAGAGAGGAAAAAACTAGCTCATCCTATCTTCTTTGCAACACAAAGACATCCTTTTGACACCCAGGAAGATATATTGCAACCTCTACCCTTTTTGCTGTACTTCAGTGATTGCAGCACAATAAACACCATCAAATATTCCCCTTTTTGGCTTTTATAAAGATTTCCATAGACTTGTTTTACTGGGCAACTTTTGGGTACTAGTTACTTCCTCAAAGAGAACAGGAGCAACAATCACCTCATATAGATAGATGTCAGTGTTTTCAAATTCACTTTACCAGTATTAATACAGGATTTCAGTGAAAGATGCTAGAAAACTGAAAGCAAGGCACAATGGATCACTGTAATCTTACCATGAATGCATTACCATGAATGCAAC